GAGCAGCACGTCACCAGGGTAGGGGACTGGTGGTCTGGGGGGAAGAGAGGAAGCTCTCCACAAGGATGCCAATCCCACTGCTCTGGTGGGGCAGGGGGCCTTGGTGATACACAACCATGGGTGGGAATGGAAGCTGAATCCCAGCTACTCACACACAGCACTGCTTCTTGGTGTTAGGGCCACCAAACTTGGGCTTGTCCAGGCAGTTGACACAGGAGCCACAGTCCTGCACACGCAGGCAGCCCCGACAGTGTCCACACCGTGCCATCCGCATCTTCTTGCCATGATGGGAGGGCAGTGAGCGCTGAGGTGTATGGGCCAAGGGTCCTCCTGACCCTGCAGGCTCTGAGTCCCCCCCCGGCCCTGCTGAATCCACTTTTCCCTGCTGTGACCGCGATGGGACACTCTCAGTCTCAGATGCTGATGATGTATCTAGAAAAGTGGAGAGGGGATGGAGCTACAAAGCCACCAGGCCTTCTACTTCACCTCCCTCAAACCTCATTCAACTGGCCCTCAGACTACTTTTGCAGTGCTCAGGTCCCACATGTCCCCAAACCCGCTTTGTCTAAGACCTAGCATGTGCTCCATAGGACTGACCAATAGAGGAAGCCTTAAGCCACCTAGCCTTAAGCACCCAACTCAATTCCATTTGTTCGCTCCCAGACTTGACAAGTTTGTCCAATTTCCCCACAAGACACCCATCCCTACCCTCTGTGGCAAGGTCCTGCCGATCGCGGAGAGGGAGAGCACTGAGGCGGGGGACGTCTTCAGGCACCATGGCCCGCGCCTGACCCAGGGCCACAGCAGCGTGACGGCAGACGTGTTTGATGCGGGGGCCTTGCACAGGGGACTCGGGGCCCTGGGAGAGGAGACAACAGGAATACATGTGGGCAGTTGCTACTTGCATTCCTGCAACCACCCTCCTTCAGAGGGCCCTCCACCCACTCCATACCGATGGTCTCTCTCTCTTAGTTTCCATAGATTCGTCTTCAGACCTGACAGGACCTCTATCTGAGATTTGCTTGACTGTGCCCACGACCTCCTCCATCTGCCCTCCAGGGCTTGGCTGGTGGGGAAATAATAAGCAGGGTTAGAGGCTGAAAAGTGAGCAAAAACAGCGTCACAAAAGGAATATAGGAAATTATGGGACAGGGAATGGACTGGCTCAGAAGGTTGCCTGCAACGTTGGAGGGAGACCGGAGGCTAAGGGATTGCAGGGATTGAGGCTGGATGACTGGGTACAGGGGCCTGGCCAAAGCACCATGCTTACCGGCATCAAAGATGCCACCTTCTGCTGCTGCTGCTGCTGCTGGTCAATCTTGAATAGCTGCACCTTGGCTCTCTTGAGGAGGCTGAACATTTTCTCCTCTACACCAGACAGTGGCAAGGAACCAAGGCCTGCAATCCGGGCCTTTTCCAGTGCTGGTGGCTGCAGTTGTAACTGTGGCTGCAGTGGTGGTAGTGCCTGGGGCAGCAGCTGAGTTTGCAAGGCCTGGAGCTGAGCCTGAGGCTGCTGCCCATTGCTCAGAGGTGGACTCCCAGATGGGGGCACCTCCACCTTAACAGGGGTGGTGACCACAGGGGCAAATCGAGGCAGGCTGAGATGGTTGGTGCGGCCCACTGCCCGTGGCTCAGGCTCAGCTGGAGAGTCATCAACAGGAGGCGGCTCTGGCTCAGGGGCTTCAGGGGCCCCAAGTGGAGCAGTAGTAAGCACCGATTCATAGATCTTCAAGTGGGCTTCACTTGGGGTAAACTGAGGGGCCCGAAGGAGCAGGGGCCTCCGGGATGGATTGGCAGGCGCAGGAGGTGGGGGTGGAGCTGGCGGAGGAGCCGGGGGAGGAGGGGGCAGTTCCCGGGTCAGTGAGGTCCAGCGAAATGTGGGTTCCCTTAGGATGGACCTTCTCTTTTCAGGGAGTGGGACTGGGATAGATAGGGGAGTTGGGGCACATGGTGGAGAGGGGGCTGGCGCTGGCTCCTGGGGGGCGAGTGGGGAGATAGCAACAGGAGGCCGCAGAGGTGAGACTTCCACCTTCGGGGGCTTGGGGGGATCTTCATCCATAAATCGCCGGGGTGTCTTGATGACACGGGAGGACCGGGCACTCACCACAGGCATAATAAACTGCCGGATGTTCTTCAGGAAGGTGGTGCTTTTGGAGGCCACAGTGGGGCTGTCTTCCAGAGGGCCTCCTGTGACGGTGCCAGGGGTTGGAGTGGTAGGAGAGGTGCCCTCTGGCCCTGCCCGAGCAGCTTCCCGCTCTGCCCGTTGGCTGGGAGTCAGGGGAGGCCGGCCCCTCTTCCTGGAGCATGTAGCTAGGACCACGGGAGGGGATTCTTCCTGCTCCTCTGGGGCAGGAGGTGGTGGAGGGGATGGTGGGGTTACTGAGGGTGGTGAAGGGCAAAGTGGGGATGGAGGAGATGTTGAGGGAGATGGAAGAGGTGGGGGGACTGGAGGAGTCAGGGGTGGTGAAGGCAGCTTTGCCTCTTCCTTTTCCTCAGCTATCATCATCTCCTCCTCAGTTAAAGCTCTCTCTTCCTTCTTTTCCCCTTCTTCCTTATCTTTCTCCTCCTCCGACTTCTGCTCCTTGCTCCAGCAAGGGCCCTCTCCCTGTCCAGATTCAACTCTTCCTTGGGGAGCATCCTGCCAGCTTTCCTCATGTTGATCCTGACCCTGACCTGATTCAAGTCCCAAGGACAATCGTCCCATCTTCACTCTTTTGGCCTTTGAAACAAACTTGATCACGAGGGGGAGTCCACCTCGGCCTCGGCCCCTGCCTCCACGGCCTCCTCGCCCAGACTGTCCTCCACACTTGGGGGTCCCAGGTCCTGGGCCAGGCCCCTCCTTGCACTTCCAGCTCCCAGTGCGATGTTTTACTGGAACCATAGGAGGTGGGGGCTCAGATTTAGGGATTGTCACAGCTGCTTCTGCCACCATTACTGCTTGTTGCTTCTTCCTGCACGGGCCTGCAGGCCGTCCTGGGGGCCGCCCCCGAGACCGACGGGGGGTGGAGGGCTCACATGCCCGGTTCCGGGGGGCTGGGGGTGCCTGGGCCCGCCGGAGAAGTTCAGTCAGTGCTTGCACCATCCGCTCTGTACCCTCCTCACCCCGTTTCCGGGCAGGAGTCTTTGGGGGGGTAGGAGTCACATCTGCTAGGCGAGGAGGCAGAAGGGGGATCGTCTTATGCTTGTGGCCGCGACCTCGAGGGGCTCGACCTAAAAGGAGAATAGGTGTGGGGAGATGGGTCAAGCTAGCCCTTTGGACTAAGGAAGGTGCTGCAGGAGGTCCAGAACTAGTCTTATTTGTCTGTTTCCCCCACAGCCTAGCCTAGCTTGGGTTTTGAACACAGAGCACATCTGGTAACTGATGGAGACTGTAGTTGAACAGGGAAAAGCTGACACAAAGAGTGAGGAGTAACATTCCTTTAAAACTAAAGAAGTACAGTTTCCCCATCACTCACCTCGTTGTGACCGGAGCGCAGAGCGCAGGGAACTGGGGGCCACATCGTCATCTGAATGAAAACCCTGAAATTCCTGATTTAGGGGACCAGGGGTGGAGGGGAGAAACAGCAGTCAGTGCCACAGCCCTTGTTCCACCTGAGACTCAGGTATTGAGGAATATGCCCAGCTTCCTCCTTAAGGGACCCCTGCCTACTTACAAAAGGACTAAAAAGACTAGAAGGTGAGGGGAGTAGAAAACGGTCTCTCCTCAGGCAGGAAGACACAGGGTATTCTGAACCTCCACCTCCTAGGCCTGACCATCCCAGCACAGAAAACAAAGCAGGGCCTCTGGGGCCAGGCAGCAGGCACTACCCTGACTCCCTAGACTCCAACACAGAAAAAGGGGGGCCTCTGTGCACACCCTCTTGGGCATCAAAGGTGCCACCTCCTGCTGCGAAGGTGGGAATGGGGCCACCGAGCTGGTGTGTGTGGCTACCACAAGGGTTAGCACAGTGGGATCCCCACACCTTCCTGCCTTTTCTGCGAGGCTGCGGGTACACCGGGAGCTGAACTCAGACCTGCTCGAGTGCCCAGTCCCGGCTTTCGTTCCCTTTCTCAACCTGTGCCCCAGGAGGAAGCCCTCCGCCATTCCAGCCCCTCTCCGCTTCAGGTCGGAGGGGAGAGGGGCACTAGTGGAAACCAGGGCTGTGTCAGAGGTGAGGGCTGGGCGGGGCAGCCTGCAGCGGGAGCCCGGAGCCAGCTGGTCCCCCGAAGCCGGGCTGCTGCTGTCACCACCCGGGCGGGCCTGCGCTCCGCCGGCCCCTCGCCGTGTACACCGCTGCTCCCTGGCTCTGCCGACCACCAAGGGCCGGCCCAGGGCACTCCAGGGAGACCCGCCGGGCCGGTGCCCAGGCAGCTCGGCTTCCCCGGCACTTGGAAAGGCCCCTGTCGCCGACAGCTCCGTGCCGCCGACCTCCTCCCGTGCCTCCTGCCAGGCCCCTTTCTCTCCGCCGGCGCCCCGAGGACCCCGCTTCCCCACGTCACTCCTCAGGGCTCCCCGGACCTCTGGAAGCCCCGGCCTCCGCCCCGCCCGGCGCCGGGGACGCCTCCGACCGCCTCACCTCATCGTCTGACTCCCCGTCACTGCTCTCCTCCTCCGGCATGCAGTCCCGGCTCGGACCCCAGCCCCGGCCCCGGCCCCGGCCCCGCTGAACGCGCGGGCCGGCCCACAGGCGGCGGAGCCGGCGCAGGCCCCGGCGGAGCCCCAGCAAACGGAGCAGGGCCGTGTCCTCCCCGGGCTCGGCTGCGCCCGGCCCCGCCGCGCCGCCGCCGCGCCGCAGAGCTACCCGCACTCTCTCGGCCCCGCTGCCCCGTCCGCCGCGGCCCCCTCCCCCGCCGGAGCCCCGCGGCCGGCCCGGGAAGCGGCCCCGCGCGGAGCCAGGCCCCGGGCAACTGCCGCCGCCCGCCGCCGCCGCCATCTTGGCACCGTGAGAGGGGCCGGGGAGGCCGGGGGAGGGGCGGCCGAGCGCAGGCCGGGGGAGGGGAGGGCGGGGCGGGGCGGCGCGGCTGCGGCTCACGACAACTACCGGCGCTGCCGCGGGTCTGGCGGGAGCCGGGGGCTGGGCCGGCCACGCGCGGGGCACCACGGGAGCGGGAGTCCGCGGCCGGCGGGCCGTCACCTGAGACCGCGCCTGAGGAGCGGAGACCCCGCGTCGCGGCCGGAGAGGGGTGAGGCGCAGGGGCCTCCGGGAAATGTAGTCCAGGCGTCGCGCTTCTTCCGCCGGGCGCTGGGGCCGCGAGAGCTGGGTCTGGAGGGGTCCCGACCCGACCCAGAAAGAGAGATCGCTCCCGAGCCGCCGGGAGGCGTGGTGTTCGCCCCGGACTCCTCCCATCGTCCTGGGGCGGCCGGCGGCCGGCGGGAACTACCACTCCCAGGGTGCAGGGGCTTCTTTCCCTGGGAGCCCGAGGACACCGCGAAGCGAAGTTCGCGACCGCGGGCGCTGGGGCTGGGGAGGGGGCGGCGGCCAAGGGCTAGTCTCAGTTCCAGGGTCGACCCGGCCGCCGATGCACGCAGCGTGGAGCAGATTTGCCGCAGAGTGGAGTACGCGGCTCCTCGAGCCCGGGCCAGGGACCCCAGACTCCGACTGCGTGCGGCTTGGCTTGCCGTGGAAAGGGCAGGACCTGGGGTTCTCAAGCTTTCCCCCGCAGGGCTTGCTGCTAAGTCAACCCGACCATGGAGCCCTCCCGACCCTCTGCCTCCCGGGAGGTCGGGGAGACCGAGGAGGGGGCCGCCGTGCCGAACAGCGGACGTGCGGCCACGAGGGGCCGCTGCAGGACCAGGGGCGAGGCTGAGCGCACCCCCGACCCGCGCAGACTAAATTCTGGACTCGGCTTTCTTGTCCTGAGAGGAAGGCACAGACAACGCTTTATTTTAGTAATGAAATCAACAGTCCCCACACAGTTAAGATTCACTTGTGCAAACCTCACTGCCCTCGCCCCACACCGGATCGCCAGTCCAGGCTTCTGCGGTCCTTGGTCACCGGGAGAGGGCTCTCGGGGCCCTTCCCGCGATGCTTCTTAGCCGAATTCGCTGGACTGCCAAAGCGGGGTGCCGGGTCGGAAGCCTAGCCAGCCCGCCGGCCTGTCTTTATATCTTTCATTCTTTAGCTGCAGCCAAAGAAGCTATTGCCAGCCCGTCAGGTGGAGGAGGCAGGGGACCTACTTGGAGGTGGAGTCCCAGGATGATGGCCTCGAGGAGGCAGAGGCGGAGGAGGAGTAGAGGAAGGTGGAGCGAATGGTCCATCCCGGCGGGAGCTGGCTGGGCGAGTGGCCCCGCATGTGTGCCTGCATGGAGGCCAGGCTGGGGCAGCCGGCTCCGCACAGAGAGCAGCGGTAGGGTGCAGCCCCGTGTGTCCGCAGGTGCTTGGTCATGGCCGAGAAGTCCCGGGAGCGCTGGGGACAGAGGCCACAGGAAAAGGGCTTCTCTCCTAGGGCGGGTGGAGGGGAAGGGCGGTGAAGATAAGAAGGGGGCGAAGCCCTAGCCGGTTTGGCTCTGGATAGGGCGTCAGCCTGCGGACTGAAGGGTCCCAGGTTCCATTCTGGCCAAGGGCACATGCCTGGGTCGCGGGCTTGATCCCCAGTAGGGGGCAGCCGATCAATGATTCTCTCTCATCAGTGATGTTTCTATCTCTCTATCTCTCTCCCTTCCTCTCTGAAATCAATAAAAATATATTAATTAAAAAGAAAAGAAGGCAGCCTAGGGTAGATTGGGGGCAACTGGACAAGGGAGTTGTGTGGGAGCTAGGCAGCAGAGAGGGACTTAGGGGCAGGCAAGTCAGTGCTTGGCAGGGTGCCCGTACCTGTGTGGACTCGGTAGTGTGTCTCCATCTGATGCTTGAGTGAAAACCTCTTTCCACAGACAGAACAAGAATAGGGCCTGGACCGAGCAGGAGGAGGCCTGAAAGGCTGTTGGCGAGATGGGCAGCCTGCTTTGCCCACATGACCCACACAGGTTGCAAGTGTACCTGTGGGGACAAAAAAGGTAAAGGAGGGCAGAGCTGGGAATCCCAGAGTCGGATCACTGGAACACCCAGCAAGATATCAGGGGCTACAATGATACTGAAGCAAAAGTATCCTCACCCTACTCACCTGTGTGCCTCTGATCAGACCCTTCCATCTCCCCAGGGCTGAGCTTCGCGGGGCCCTGGGGGAGGGAACCTGGAGAGAATAGAGTGAAGTAGGGGCCCTACTCAGGCTGGACTCCTGCAGCCCCAGCCCCAGCAGAGAGACCATATTACAGGGTTCATGCAGGACAGTGAAGGGCTTACCTGAGGTAGAGCTAGAGAAGGCCAACTGATTCTGGCTCCAGAGCCCTTTGTGGAGGTTCAGGGACAGTGGAATCCTAGGGGTGGGGTGGAGAAGAGTAACAGAGTTGGCAAAACCTGGGATCCTGACCGACCCCATCCTGGAGAGGAAGGTGATGTATATTCTCAGGTGCTGGGCTTTGGTTTCCCCTGTGGTGGGAGCTTTTTGTCCTATCTCCAGTTCAGGAAATGTACAATAGAGATAAAAGATGTGGTGCCCAAAAATAAAAAATAAAAAAAAATAAAGATGTGGTGCCCTTTCACCAATCACCATTGCCTCACCTGAGCTACTCCCTCCCAGATAGGCTTCCATTGGGCCCTTCACTCACCTCTGATCCTGAGGCCAGACCTCTTGCCAGGCTGCACTGATGGAAGTACTATGGGAGAAAGGAGTGCCATATCTGGGCGGCAATAGCAGGAGGCTCCACAGGGCAGGCTGGCTCTCCCTCAACCAAGGGGCCTCAGCCCACCAGGGCCTAGAGGTGATGCTGGTTTGGAGGGAACCTGGTGGCGGTGGGGGGCCAGGCAACTTCCCTAAACTTTCCTCAGAGCCCCCTGGACTCTCCTTCACCCACATGATCACTTCTTGTTTCCCACCTACTCCCCTGTGGCCAAAAAGGAATTGGTCGAGTTTCTCCTCTGATCTCATATGCTCCCTCTGATCCTCCTGCATTGCCTCTGCTATCTCAGAGCTCTCTCTCAGTGGCCTGTGCTCCTGCACCATCTCCTGTTCTCTCCCACCAGCTCTAATAAACTTCTCTGGTCTCTGCTCTCCAAGGTCCTCCACTCCACTCTCAGAATCCCTTGTGGGTTTCTCTGGCTTCTGATGTTCCTTCAGCCCTTGACTAAACTCTGCTCTAGCCCTGTCTCTTCGAGCCTTCCTGCATGCCTCTTCCAGGGACTGCACCCCCAAGGCCCTGGCAGCCTCCTCAAGGGGCCCCAGTTCCCCAGGTTGCAGCTCAACACTCTCTCCGTAAACAAAGTACAGAAGCTGTGCAAAAGTGGAAGGGCTGATTCCTTTCACCAGAGTCCAGTGACCCCTGCGGCCTAGCTGCTGGCTCACACCTGCCAGCACCAGGCTGTGTGCAGGGAACTCCTGGCTCCCCACGGTGATCATGGTATCACATAGTGCTGGCCTGAGCCTGGCTGCTAGCCGCACCAGCCGATCAGAGCCATAGGGGCTAGGCAGTCTTGTTGGGGACAGGGGCATTTTGCCTTGCCTGGGTACCAGTCTCAGAGGTTCTGAGACAAAGGCCACAGTTCGAGGTCCATGGTGGGAAGGGGAGGAAGGAACAGCATATTCTCAAGCCTGTGGAGATGAGGGGAGAAAGAATGAGTTGTTTGTTCTGGATCAGAGCTCTCTGTCCTGAATGGAGCAAATAAACTAACCCAAGAGAGGACTTGAGCTTATCCAAAACCATAACAGGGGCCTAGAGTTTGGTGGCAAGAGAACGGAAATTAGACTACAGTGAGGACTTAAAAAGCAAGGATCAGGTAGTTCACAACTACATTAAGTAGTGGGCTGAAGACTAGTAGGTGGATTCTGCCAATTAGCAATCTCTGACTTAAATGATAGCACATACTGATATTTCTGCTTCTCGGAGCCCCTCTGAGCAGGCCAGGCTCCCTTCATTCGAGACAAAGAGATCACCTCCAGACCCAGTCATCCCTGTCAGTTAGAGATGGAGCAAGACACAGCTCATGGGAGAGTTTAGAGAGCTAGTGTGTCCCCACACAAGTCCATCACGTGGAGCTGAGGGCCCTGAAGCAGAAAATCAGCAATACATGGGGTCATAGTTGCAGGAGGGCAGGTTCCAAGGCATCAATCATCTCCTTGAGGCTGAAGCATCTAGAACACATCCTCAGAAAGGAACTGGAAGAGACCGAAGATGCCTGTCTGGTGAGTTAAGAGCAGGTGTAGAAGTCACAGGAGAGAAGGCTCCTGATCCAGGGATAGAGAGAGGTTTTGGAGAAGACTTTGACCCCTTAGGAAGTGAGAGAAAGGGAAATGAGAACTACAGAGGAGAGGCTATTTCCTCTCAAGGTTAAGATAAGAAGATGGTTTAATTTTGCTTTTCATACGCCAAAAGTGAAGCATAAAAAGAATCCAACAAGACAGGAATTTCTCACACATCAAAATCACCACATTGGCTTTTAAGAAGAGAACTGGGAACTCAGATACAAAGAGGCAGACCCAGCAGGCATCTTCCTACATGTGGTGAGGACTCTTGTGGGAGGGAGGATTATTACTTGGTCATCTCAGGGAGAGGGCTGTAGGTTGGCAGGAAGTGGACAGGAAGAGGGGTATAATGGGAAGAAAGTCTCAGCTGGGGAGAAGAAACTACTCACCAGTTGTAGCTTCCTCCTGAACACCGCATGTTCTGAACTTCTGTTGGGCTCCTGCCCACCCTCTACCCCAATAACTCCGCCCCTGACCTCACAATCTTCCATTGGGTGTCCCAAGTATCAGTCTGCCACAGTTCCCCCACAGGGTGTGGTTTTTTACCCCTGGCTCTGCTTCACCCCTCCAGGAGAGACCACCCCTTCTAGTCTAGAATCCAGGCATCCTGCCTCCTAACCTGTCTCCTTATTTCATTTGTGAACTTCTAGAGTCAAAGAAGTGTATCTGAGGCAACAAAAAACTCTGAACTAATCAGATCTGCATTTGAGTCTCATCTCTGCCATTTACTAGTTGAGTCACCTTGGGCAAATCATCTCTCTGAGCCTCCCTTACTTACCTCATCCATGAAATAGGGTAAACCTCTGCTTATCTTATTTGGAGGTGGGGGTGAAGATGAAATGATGAATGTGAAAGAGGTTTGTCAGTACATAGTATCACTCAAATAGTATTCTGTTTCTTAGAGGTGTCAGCGGAGCTCCAGTAGATGAAAGCGGTTTCTGCTATCTCAGAGGCAAAAAGGACTGAAATATCTGGATTCCAAGGAGAGAGTGAAGGAGAGCCGAAAGCATGCCTGACTTGATACTAGGAAGCCTTGACTGCTTTGTGGAAATGACCTCTGTCATTTGAGCCATCACTGAGGACTGGGTGTGTGAGTGACTCAGATCCTCCCATCAGACTCTGAAGGGGGTAACCCCAGAAAGGGTCTGTGGTGGTCTTTGAAGAGAAAAACTCCTTTTCTTGGGTTGATGACAAATTACATTTCTCTGAAATCAGAACTCCGGGGTTTCTTTCACTTCCTGCCCAAAGAGTCAAGGTCCTCGGAGATTTCCCATCTTTTCACTTTAGCACTTGTTAACTTGGGAAAAGGATGATGTCTGAGAAACTCAAATTTCTTTTTCATATTATTCCATGATTCCTCATCCTATGACAAATTTTTATTGATTTGATAAATCACTTATATGAGCCTGGCGTATCATATATGCCCAATAACAAAGATAAACAAGTCAGGCATTGGAAGGCTTCTCTGGTTTCCCCCCACTCTCCAGGCGTTTCCCTTAGATTCTGGGTCCTTTCCTAGACTCAAATATTATGTCTCTAAACTCCTGTTTCTCCCTTTGGCCCCAGGACCCCAAAATATTCAGACCAGCCTTCTACTTTCTCCCTCCAGACTTAATATGTCTTCCCTCTACCTCTTGTTCTAGCTTGGGTGCAGGCAGATGTTAACCCTTCCTACATCAGACAGGGTGTGCCATTGGGTGGGGCTGGTAGAGGGGCAATAATAGGGTGGGGAGAGGGGAAGATGAGTCAGAGTGAAAGGGAAAATGCAAATGGGTAAGCTGTATTCATTTGCTACTCTGAACATTAAATGTTTTTCATTTCTGAGCTTTCTAACTCCTCACACCACCACACCCAGGGACTCATTATACATCATATAAAAGACACTAGGCCTAGACACATAAAAGCATCAATGCCTGATATTTATACAGATTGTGTATACAGAGGAATACACAATCCCTGAAGATATGGAATAACTGGGGAAAGCCACGAGGGAGAAACCCTAAGTGTATAAGGAAAGGTACAGTGGTCTGGAAGATTATATCACCACCCAGTGGTGTGTGGTCCCCCTCACCTCCCAGCCCTATATCATGTGTCTGTGACTCAGCATCCCCACTGGTATGATTTGCCCATTGATGATCAAGAGAGTTGGAGACAGCTCAAAAGGCAGTGTCCTCTGAAAGCCGCCAAATGTAGTTGGCAGGGAGTAGTCAACAGGCTTTTTAGGTCTAAAAGGGAGCAGAAGAGGCAAGGGATCTTCCCATTCAGTGAATAAAAGCCCCCAAGAATGGGAAACTTATTTTGCCTCCCACTTGGTGTCTACTCCATCTAAGGATATCCCTTTAAAGACTTCCTTTCCCTTAGAGGTATCTCTAGAGCTCTCTACACCTCAGCCCTTAGGCTAGTAACACTCTAGGCCAGGGGTTGGGAACCTTTTTTCGGTTGAGGGCCATTTGGATATTTATAACATCATTTGTTGGCCATACAAAATTATCAACTTAAAATTTAGCCTACTATATTTGGTCAAACATTTAATTAACCCAGCCCCAATGCTTTGGCAGGTCCAGATCAAATTATTTCATGGGTTTTAAATGGCCTGAGGAGGGTCAGACGTTCCCCACCCCTGCTCTAGGCCTCTCTCTCTCTCTCTCTCTCTCTCTCTCTCTCTCTCCCCCCCCTTCCCTCCCTCCTTCTCCCCCCTCTCTCTCCATATATATGGTTTTTAAATTGATTTTGAGAGAGAGAGGAAGGGAGAGAAACATTGATGTGATAGCAAAACATTGACTGACTGCCTCCTGCACACCCCTGCCAGGGATTGAGCCCACAACCTGGGCATATGCCCTAACTGGGAATCAAACCAGCAATCTTCTTTGTGCACATGCCCAACCAACTGAGCAACATTGGCCAAGGCTCTCTCTCTACATTTTTTACTGCACAGCCCAAGCCATCTTGCATAAAGTGAGCAGTGACACCAGAAGCAATGAAAGGACAGGGACACTGCCCTTTTTATTTTTGAAAGGTCTCTCCTCCCCAGTCTCAGAAGCCTTGTTCACCTTCCACTTTCCAAGCTGACTCTAGGAATCACCTGCAGTTTTCTCCCTGAGAACCACAGGTTATGAGGACACAAGCCTGGACCCTGGGAGAGGGTACAGTAGGTAGGAGAGATTAGGAGGACATAATTGGAAGAGAAGTATGTGAGAAAAGGAGGTATGATTTTTGCCTTTCAGCCTTTTATAATACTCATATTACTAAGGAAAGTTTGAAATCTGGTATTTTTTGTTCTCACTGATAAGCTTAACCAAGAGCCCCTTCAGGCACAACCCATCTTGATATAAATACAGGGTATTTCCCCACCCCCCACCCCCCGAAGAAAAAAGTATACACTACTAGAAGTTGATAGCTCAGTTTGTTTCATTCTTTTCATGTTTAACTCATTGGAATTAATAATTACTCAAAGTGTGTATACATTTTTGGGACACCTTACTTTATAATTAAAATTAATCAGAACAGAGGGATGGTTATTTTATGAAAAACATTCTTCCTTTATCTCACTTATTTTAAATATTGAGTAACTCCAAAGCTAAGTTTTAACAAAATTCTATTCAGGAAAATTCTATGAACTTTCAACTCTTCCCAGGAACACATTTCTTCCAAATTAAGGTGGTTAACACTCCCCGTGCACACCCCCCTGCCCCCCCCCCCCCCCCCGCTTGTACACACAGCTTTTTTTGTTGTTAATTCTCACCCGAGGATATTTTTCCATTGATTTTTTTTTTTCTTCAGAGAGAATGGAAGGGAGAAGGAGAGACAGAGAAACATTGATGTGAGAGAGACACATCGATTGGTTGCCTCCTGCATGCACCCTGCCCAGGGCTAGGGATCAAGCCTGCAACACAGGTATGTGTCCTTGACCGGAATCAAACCGGGACCCTTCAGTCCTCTGGCTGATGCTATATCCACTGAGTCAAACTGGCTTAGGCACACACAGTATTTTTTATAGATTAAGACCAATTATCCAAATCTTACATAAACATTTAAATGTTCAATCATTCTGGTTAAATACATCCAACACATACCAGAGAAGAGACAACACAGAGTAAATTCCTTTTTCTTCCCTTAAATCTATAGTCTACATAACCCAAGAGCTAGATATAGGCATAGCCAGGTGAGCTAAATCTAGGTCATAGAGAACCTATCATAGCACACATTAATTATTATTTTGTTGTTGTTGTTAATTCTTACTCGAGGATATTTTTCCATTGATTTTTAAAGAGAGTGGAAGGAAAGGGAAGAGACAGAGAGAAACATCAATGTGAGAGACACACATCAACTGGTTGACTCCTGCACCAAGGCAGGGATCCTGCCTGCAACCAAGGTACGTGTCCTTGACCAGAATTGAACCTAGGACTCTTCAGTCTGAAGGCCAACGCTCTATCCATGAGCCAAACTGGCTAGGACTCATAGCACACCTTTTGAGAATTAAGTGGAAAAAGAACTAGACTAGACATAAAACAAAACACAAAAACTTAGGTTTCACAGCATCCTCACATCCTTTTTCTTCAAGACCCTAAGTCTTCCAAGACCCTCAACTTCCTCACAGGGACTGTTTTCAAGAACAGTACTGAATACCAGTGTTGCCTAAACTCAGGGAGAGGGCCCCACTCTGACATCCTCTGGCTGTGTCCCTCTCCATAGGCTGAGACGTCCAAGGGAATCTAGAAGTGCCCACCTGGAACCTGTGCCCACCCCCCAATTCTAGACCTGCTCTGGGAACTCAGAACCCTGGACCTCCTAGCCCAAATGGCCCAATTCCAGGGCCTACATGTGCCTCAACCCCAGATCTATACTCATGAGAGTGAACTTCAGGACTGATGTAACCTTAGACCCTGTGTGTGAGAGGCAGGTAGCCTGAGCTTGGACATGCAGGCTAGTATGTGAGATACCTTGACATGTATGCCAACAGCAGGTCTGAGGGAATCTTCATTTCTAGGCCCCATAAACAATATGGAAGCTTGTTTTAATCCAATAGTCCTTAACCTCTTAGGGCAGTCACCATTCCTTTGAAAATATAAACTATGGAATCAACTCTTTACATCAGAAAATTGTAGTCTCATATCATTTTGCATATGAATGATAAGGAATTCACAGTCTGCTCTAAAGCCCATTCTTTTTTAAAAATATATATATATATTTTATTGAATTTTTACAGAGAGGAAGGGAGAGGGACAGAGAGCCAGAAACATCAATGCGAGAGAAACATCGATCAGCCGCCTCCTGCACACTCCTCACTGGGGATATGCCCGCAACCAAGGCACATGCCCCCGACCGGAATCGAACCTGGGACCCTTGAGTCCGCAGGCCGACACTCTATCTACTGAGCCAAACCGGTTAAGGCTAAAGCCCATTCTTGAACAGGTCAATTACTCCTCACTTATCCCTGTGACCACTTTTGCCCCTCCTCTCCCAAAAATCCAACATGCATAGTTTTTCTTATGATTTCCAAGAGTTCACAGACTCTTGAAATCCACTCATAGACTACCACTCCCTTGTATCCCCCACCCTTGGTTTAAGAACTCTGGGTGTATCCGGCCAGTGTGGCTCAGTGGTTGAACATCAACCTAGGAACCAAGAGGTCACTGGTTCAATTCCTGGTCAGGGCACATGCCTGGGTTGTGGGCTCAATCCCCAGAAGGGGGCATGAAGGGGTCATGCAGGAGGCAGCCGATCAATGATGTTTCTATCTCTCTCCCTTCTTTTAAAAACATATTTAAAAAGAAAAAGAGAACTCTGGGTGTACATGAAAGCAAAGCACTCTGAAAAGCTTTAATACCAAGTAATGCTGGAAAAGCTGAGTGAAAGTCGATATCAACACCCTGTCCCATAACTATAAAAAATCTTCAGTAAAGACAACCTGGCTGGTTTCCTGAAGAGCAGGATATTTCACAGACCACCTCCTATGCCCCCGTACAACATCCATCTTTCCCATGCACCCGCCCCATGCTTACAGCCTGATATCTTCTGGGAGGGACCAGAAAGGGTTTGGGAAAGAGATAGGGACAGGAACTAAAATGCCCCAGACATGACCCAATCTGGGTTTTGTCTCTAGTCACCACAAGTCAATGATACTTCATGGAGGGCAAACAACTTGGCTGGGGTTTGGAGACACCTCCCTCCCTCCCCAGAACCTCCATAAGACTATGGGCCTAACCTCCTAGCCACA